ATTACACCCAACTCCAAACTTTTCTCCTTTTAATCCATCTCCCTGTCTCAGCAAACACAAGGGCATCATCTCAGTTCCCTGGGCCAAAGATTCAAGAGCCATGTTGCCAATTAGAGTGACCACTACAACTTTTCCCTCGACCACTGATTCGTCACAAACCCATTTACCATGTAAGCTACCAATTCAAAAGGAAAGAGATGTAGCTGAGCTCACATGGGGCTCCTAGTCAACATACCCCAAGATGCACACACCTTTAATTCCAGCACTCAGGAGGCAGAGGGGGGTGGATCTCTGTGAGTTCAAGGCCAGCCTGGTCTACTGAGAGTTCCAAGACAGGCCTCACAGCTAAGGAGAAACCCTGTCTCAAAAAAACAAACAAACAAAAATTTAAAAAGACTACCTAGAAGAGTTAGGTACAGTGTTATACACCTATAATTCAAGCACTTGAGAAACAGAGATAAGACCCCAAGATCCAGGCCAGCCTAGTTTCGACAGGGAGATCCTGTTTCCAAAATAAGACAAACAAAAAAGTTAAGACCATCTAGATAATGAGTGTGGTGTCACCCAGATTCTCCCAGCATTTAGAATGTGGAAGAAAAAATCCTGAGTCCCAGGACAGCTTTGGCTATAAATTGAGACTCTGTCAACAAAAAATAGTAAGGTTAGGAGGGTGTCTTGGCTGGTAAAGTGCTTGTTACACAGAGACCTCAGTCCTTGCCCCATAACCTACACAGAAACCCAGGTGCAGTAGTGCATGCATGGCTGCAATTCCAGGTCTGAGGTGGTAGAGATGGGTGGGGATACCTGGAGGCCAGCAAGTCTAGTTAGCGGCTGAGCTCCAGGTTCAGTCAGAAACTGCCACAAAAAATATTTACAGGGTTGAGAGTGATTGAAGATGTCCAGCATCAACCTCCGACTTCCACACACAGGCACACACTATTGTAAGCACATACATGCAGAAAAAAAAAAAAAAAGGAAAATGCCAGCCATGTTCCTCTGTGACTTCTGTTGGCCTGGAGCAAGGACTGCACTAATTCTAGCTACCTCTAGCAGTCAAGGCATTCACCGAGACTTATCCCTTTCAAGGGATTCAGAGTGTAGGCAGCTGGTGCTTCAGCTCTAGACAGAGCAGAATTAGGTCAGGTCCATTACGGAGACAGCTGCTGTCCTTTCCTTGATGTCTTCTTGTCTCTTAGACTCTGCATTCACATCTGCCTGCAGATGCTGTTGCGTTCACCTTCTGGGTAGAATGGAGCCATGGTTTACGTGAGATACGCTCCCATGTATGTGAACATGTAATCCCCAGTTGGTGCTGTCTGGGGAGGTGAGGAATCTTCAGGTGGAACCTTGCTGGAGGAAGTCTATCTCTAGGGTAAGGATTTGAGTGATTCTAGCCTCACTCTACCTTTTATTTTCTTTTCACTGCCTATGTGTGGATGAAACTATGACCATCCAGCTTCCTGTTCCTGCCTCCATGCCCTTCCCTGCCCACTGCTGAGCTTTCCCCACCATAAGGGACCTGTCAGTAATTCTGCAACTATAAGCTAAAATAGCCTTCTTCCTTAGGTTGCTTCTGGTCACAGTATTTTATCACAGTAAAAGAAACATAACTCTTACATTACTTCCCATTCCCTTTTGTCCCAGAACTTTGGTTTTTAACCTAATTTCTGCAGCATCTCTAAGTGCCACCTCCGAGACTTGAATTTGAAATACGCAGGTTTGTTTCCAAGTAGATCTCAACATCTGGGAAGACTATGGGGTCTTTTATGAGGTGTGTGGCCCACCAGAATAGATCACTGGTGATAGGCTCTGAAGGTTTATTAGCCAGGCCTCTGAATCCTATAACTCTTCACTTACGGGCAGGCAACAAACCTGTAGTAACACACTTCTACTGCCTTGTATGGAGCTCCTCAACCCTGCCAAAACCTAAGAGATTCAAAACCATGGGCCAAAATAAGGCATCCCTTTCTTGCTTCTATTGGGTACTGTGGTTACAGAAACAGGGAAATAACTGATATAGTAGCTGTGCAGTGTATGACCTTCCATGGCTCAGTGTGGTGATCCGAATGAGAAATGTCCCCTATTCGTTCATACACACTGGTTCCCTTATTCTCCTGTTGTGCTGTTTGGGGGAGGTTATGAAACTTAGAGGGTAGAATCTTGCTGGATGATGCATGTTGCTATGGATGCCCCCCCTGAACTTACAGCCTCACCCCTCTTCCATGTGGCTCCCTTGACTTCCTCTATGCATTTTGAGATGCATTCTCTCAGCTGCTTGCTGCCATATATCCCTTGTCTTCCTGATCTATCCCTCTGGAACCATAAGCTAAAATGAACTCTTGCTTCTGTTCGTGCTTTCTCATAGGTATAGAAAATTCACTAATACATTCAGAAACTGTTGGTGACCTACACAACCTGACCTGCCTTTCCCTTTCCTTCCACGCCGAGTTCACGGTGTGTTCATCCCATAGCTCTTTGCTTCAGTCCCTCCCGCATACCTGCAACTGCTGCACCAGGGCTCTCCAACATGTCCACAGTTTGCACTTTCCAGTCCTTCCTCAAATGTCAGCTTCCCAGTCAGACTGTCTTCAGAGCCAACTGCCACTGTTCCTCACACAGTATTCCAAAACTCTCCCTTACCTTTCCCTCACAAATACTATGTGTCTTAATTTCTTGTTTACTGTCCAGGATGCAATACAGGGGTTTGGGAAATGGCTCACGCAGCGCTTAGTGTGCAAGCAGGAGGATCTGAGCACAGAAACCTCACCAACTAGGAATACTGGCACATGTAATCCCAGCTCTGGGGAGGTAGAGCCAGCAATATGCCTGAGACATACTGGCAGGCCTGTCTAGCCTAATCACAAGCTCCAAATCCAGTGAGACCTTGTCTCCAATTATAAACGTGGATATCAATTGAGGAAGACACCTGATACCAATCACAGTCCTCCGCATGTACCCACACACATGTACACAGAGCACACTGAAAAAAATGAAAGAAAGAAGGAACGGTTGGTGGAAGTAAGGACACTAGTGAGAGATAGGGCAAAACTAAGCTATGTTTAGAAGATGAGAAGACTCAACCTTTACTATCATCATTGGAAAGCAAAAAACTGCAGGAGAGTGCTTAATCATTAATCATGTCTAGGGCTAGGAGTATCTAGCTAGTTGGCATAGCACAAGCCTAACACACACAAAGCATGCCATTCTGCTGCCAGCACTGCATAAAACTGGGACCAGTAGTGCACACTTATCTTACCAGATTTGGAAAGTAGAGGCAGGAGGATCAAAAGTTCAAGGTTATCTGAGTTTTAGGTGATCCTTGGCTACAAGAGACTTCCTAAAAAACTAGCTGCCTGGGCTGGTAGGATAACTCTGCGGTTAAGAGCACTGGCTGCTCTACCTGAGGACCCGAGTTCAATTCCCAGCACCCATATGGCAGCAACTGTCTGTAACTCCTGTTCCAGGGGATCCAATACCCTTACAAAGACATGTATGCAGGCAAAACATTAATGTGCATAAAATACAAATAAAAAATTATTAATAAAAACTGTCTATTATGCCTACATGGAACATGGGGGCAGAGGTGGGAGGAGGGAAGACATGGAATAGCACAGACTGCATATGGAACAGGAACTAGTCAGAGAAAGTCAATTGTGGGCTGGTGCCTGTACAACAGGCAGGAAGTCATTCAAGATGGAGGAAGAGCGGTAAAGGTCCAGACATGGAACAGAACTCTCAAAGTTCAGGGGACCAAAGCTGAAGCCACCCGAGCTGAAAAGTAACAAGGAAGACATGAGAGGAGATAAAAGCTATACAATAAAACAAGTTTCAGATAGCTGTCACGAGCATTTACTGAGCTGACGTAAAGGTAGACATGAGCGGGGAGGGGGGGCAGCAGTGAGGGATAAGAGAAAAGGAGGTTATGAGGAGAGAAGGAAAGAAAAACCACATATTGTAAATAGGAAACCTGGGGAGGCCGAGAATCATCATGGACATCATAGGGAGTAAAGAGAACTGCAGGGTAGGATGGAAAGCTCTCTTCCTTGCGTGGGAGACACAATTAGGATGACCAACAAGGGCCAGAATGTGGGGCCCTTTGGAAGTTTAACAAGGAATTAGATTTGATTTCAGTGACAACAGAAGCCATTGATGAGTTTGAGGCAGAGAAGTAACCCACTGTGACACACTTACCTAGATTGGAAACTAGTAGGGATCTGAGTCCATTCTGAGAACCCAGATGTAAAAAGCCTGCAGTTGTCATTCTAGGGCTGGTGAGGTGGTGACACATTGACTCTTGGGGCCTGCTGGTCAGCTAGCCTAATCAGGCAAGTCCTAACCATTGAGAAACCCTGTCACCAAAACACAGTGTGGTTCGTGCCTGAGGAATGACACTTGAGGTTGACCTCTGGCCTCCACATGCATGTATATGTACACAAATGTGGCCCGCTCACACATAGAAAGAAACCAGCCTAGGCAAAGTAGCTCACCTGTCTAGAATCCAAAGTAAGGGGCTGAAGGTGTGGCCCAGTGCTAGAACGACAGGGGTGTGACTTAGTGGTAGAGCCCTATCTAAACTATTCCAGTGACTGGCTGAGGTATGGCTCAGTAGTAGAGCTCCAGTCTAGAATCCTCTAGTAAGGGGTTAAGGGTGTAGCCCAATGGTTTTTGCACTGAACTGCTAGAAGACTATAGGTGCTACTTGTGGAAGGAAGTCTTGGGGGAAGAAAGGATTGGGGAGGGGGGATACCATATAGTACTCTAAGGGTATTTTCTATAGATGGAAATGTCAAGGAATCTGCTAGAGAACAGAAGGGTCTGGGCTGGTGCTCAACAAAGAGCCTCCCAAACTGATAACTTATGTCCTGTCACCATGGGTCTATACACCGAAGCATTGGGGGGGGGTAGCTTGTCCTCCCTAGGGTGAGCAGTGACCTCATCAAAACGAACAAACAAGTCACCCCTCAAAACCAACAACAAAAAACAGAAAACAAACAAGAGGATCAGAACTGAAATACATTCTTTATTTCAGGGATGAATGTCAGATCAGGGCAGATAGCCTCGTTAGGGGCCACTTAAGTACCATCGAAAAAACACCCTGAGGAAAAAAAAAAAAAAGGAGTGTGTGCGCTGAAAAAGGGCTCAGTGACAGAAACACAATAGGATTTCAAATTGCAAGGAGAGCCTAGACCTGAGTCTCCAAGGAGCTCTGGTGTCGGGACTATGTTAGTTTATGAGCTGTAAGGATAGAATCTGGATTTCTCAGCCTGTGCAAGGAGGGCTAGAATCTGGACTTCCGGCTCTGAGAAAAAAGGGTTCGGTCTCCTAGGTCTGAAGAATTGGAGGCTAGAACCCTGAGTCTAAGGAAGGCAGTCTAGAGCCTATATACCATTAGTCTGAGAAGACCTGGGTTGGGCTCTGGGAGGAGGCTGGGGTCTGGACTCCTGGGTCGGAGGCCTGCGGCGGCGTGGACTTAGGGAGCTGCGGGAGGAGAGGGTGGTAGCTGACACTCACCACACTAACACAGTGACAGTAGCAGACACGAGTGCAGCAGTAGCCGCGAGCAGGAACAGGTTGCCAAGCGTCAGAGCCTGGGGCCTGGCAAGCAGTTCGCTTAGGCTGGGCCTCCAGGGCTCGATCATTTCCGCCTCCCGCGGCGTCCAATGCATCACTTCCCGGAACGTGACCTGGAGCTCAGTCTCCCCAGGCGGAGGAGGGCCAGTCACTGCCAGAGCGCGCGCATTAGAGGGCGGAACCCCGCCCTTGGCCCCACCTCTCCTCACATCCTTGCCCCGCCCGCACCGTTCAGAAAGAAGTAGAGCCGCGCCAGGGGGCGTTGGTCGTGCAGGATCACGCAGGAGAAGGTCCCGCGGTGCGTGGGTTGCACTGGCCGGATCCGCGCCAGGTAGCCGTGGGCCCCTGGCACATCACGGAAGTAGGACACGTCCTGAGTCCGGACCTGCGAGATGGCGGGGCTGAGGAGCTCAAATGCACCCGGACTCATCCAGAACGGGCAATCCCCGCCCAGTGCACGCCCCCTCCCCAAGCCCTGACTCAGCTCGGGAGCCTCTGACTCGTCTCGCTGCCATGAGTAACCCTTCCCAGCATTCTTAAAGTCTGACTCATAATGCACATCCAAGCACTGGTCTTCCATATATTTAACCTCAATCTTTCCCTAGGTCTCCGACTGCCCTCTCGCATTAAACCCAACCCCTTAGCCTTGCCCCGGAGCAGAACCGATCCCTTAAGCCCTCCTGCAGGCCCTGTCCCGACTCACACCTCCTCCCGCGAATTTCCATGAGTAAGTGAGCTCCGATTCAGGCAATTGGAAGCCCACGATACAAGAAAACAAAGCCTGATCCCCTCGCTTCACCGTCACGTCCTGAACTGGAGAGGAGAGGAAAGGTGATTCTGGCGGGCCTACACAAGCCCCGCCCCTTCCCTGGCGTGCCTGTGCAGCCACCTCACCTGGACAGTCTAGAGGGAGGTCGCAGACTGTGGAAAAGCAGCCCCAACAGTAGAAACGCCTAGTGACCTCCTGGACGCCTGTGAGCCGAGACCAGGAGTGTCTCCAGATCAGTTCTCCGGACCTTGTTGAATCTATGGGGACTCCCAGGGTTCTACTGGCGAGGTGAAAGACAGACCCCGCATTTTCTGCACTATTTAGATAACCCTGCTTAGTTGGCCCCCAGGTCACCTCCTGATTTGTTAAGTTTTCTGCAACATTACACTTATGTTTTGTTTGTGTGTTGTAGTCACTGGGAATGGAACCTAGGGGTTTATGCACGCTAGTCAAACTCCCTTCCACCGAGGCAGGTCCTCAGCCAGACTGGGAGATTCTAGACAAGTGTTCCTGTGCTGAGCCTTATCTTCAGAATTTTTTTTTAGATTTTGTTTTGAGACAGGGTCACCCTAGGTTGCCAGACGTGGCCTAGAACTTTATGTAGCCGTAGTCCAGGCTGGCCTTGGATGTGTGATCTTCCTGCCCTAGCCTCTGGAGTAGCTAGGATTGCAGGCCTTCATCAACATGGCCTCTTGCTAGGAAGTTTTGGCAGAATACCTAGTTAGTGCACTTTCCTATTGACTTCCTTTGGGTCTATGGCCCACTCATGGTCTTCATCTTAGGTTCCACGTTTCCGTCCCAGCTTCCCCTACTTTTTTAAAGTATGGGACTAAATCCTTACCACAAGGAGGGATGCAGTCCTGGGCTGTGGAGAGAAAGGAGGACGCATTAGGACCCAGAGAGTTGACAGAGAGACCTACCTAGAGCCGCTCCAGAGGTATTTCAGGCAGGCCTATGGCCCTATGGCGGAATAGTCAGGACTTGCAGCCCTCACCTCTGGAGAAAAAGTCTAGGCTCCTAAAGCAGCACTCGGAGGGCAGAACAGAGCACACTGTTCCTAAAGCGCAGGACCAGCACAGCACTTCATCCAGAGGGTGCGGCAAGGCCAAGCGTGTCAAGTTGAAAGCCTACAACTAACTAGGAAAAGTGAAATGGGTGGTGGTGTGGGGCACAGGAGCCTTGAGGAGGAATCAACCTTGAAGTATTAATTACCCTTGGAAGTGGGAAAATCAGCACCTAATTAGTAGGCCCAGATAGAGAAGCATCAACTAGAGAGGATGCCTTTGAACACGGGGCCAAAAGCAGATTGATTGTCACATGATCTATCCTGGGATAGGAAATCCACTGGTCCCAGGGTTTAGGCAGGATTCCAAGTGTACAAATGTCTGTGTGGCGTAGTGTATTGGCAGGGGGCGGAGCTACAGGCTGGTTTACCTTTTTTAAGCTGTTGAATGGTCTTCTTCATTTTTGCTGCAGCACTAGGGAAGGCAGCCTTAAAGGACCCTAGAGGATAAAGCAGGGTGTTTGTACTAAAAGCCCTTTCCCTATGGCAAACAGTCAGGACTTGCTGTCTCTCCCATAGGCACATGCTGTGTTTCTACCTCCCACAGGTCCAAAGGGAAGGCTGGCAAACTTCTACAAGATGCTCTTTCTGCTTCCTGACAGCACTATCCATTTATATCTTAGTGGAAAGGGAAGAACAATGATTAACTCTTCTGCAGGGCTTACTGGGCCCTACAACGCTGGTTGTTTCCTTTCTCTGCTGCAGCCCTCTTGCTTTCACTCTCCATCACTCTGCCTATCTTACCATCTCATGTGTCACTGCAAGGGTTTTAATTACCCCAAATCTAAAGTCCCCCACTTTTGACTCATTGTGCCTCTTTCGGTTAACATAGACTTCACCAGTTTGCGATTACACATATGCAAATTAGATGTGCATGTAAATTAGATGTGTGTGTAAATTAGATGCTGAGATGTGATAACAGCATAAGTCTATCTTCTTGGTGTTTTGTTTTAAGATGGTGGCTCACTATGTTCCAAGCTGACCTAGACTTCTCTATGTAGCCCAGGCAGGCCTTGAACTCAGAGATCTGCCTACTTCTAACTTCCCAATGTTGGGATTAAAGGCACACACAACCATACCTGGTTTCTTTTCTGTATGCTTTTAATTAATGTTTTTTGTTCTTTGAAATATGCATGCAATGTATTTCGATTATATTCATTCCCTCTCCTATCTTCTTCCAGACCCATATACTGCCTAGTTGTCCTAACCCTCTTCATGTATTTTTTTCCCCTGGAACTGTAATAACCCATGCAGTCCAATCTTGCTGACCATCCAGTAGTGCACCTACCTACAGTGAACCTACCAACCTATCAGGAACTGCATGCACCCTTGAAGATAACTGGCTCTCGCTATCCGTTTGCCTCCATTTGGGGTGGAGGCTTGTGAGCCCCTCCCCCACAGCACTGGAATGCTGACCGACTTGATCTTGGGCAGGCAGCTACAGCTGCTGTGAGCTCAGGAGTACATTGGTTCTGTCAAGTCCACAAACCGCTTCACCTAGTCCTCTCCAACTTCTGACTCCTAACCTTTCCAATCTTTTCTCAATGTTCCCCAAGCTTCCACTTTTTGAATACAGCATCCTCAGAAACCACAAAAGGGTCCCAAGTCTTACAAAACAGCCTAGTAAGAATGTGTCTGGTGAACTTTAGAGTCCGGCAGGATCTGTAGGTCACCAGCTGTAGCCTTAGATCCAAATGTATCACCTGGATATGATAAACATCAGGCAGTAAAATGTTTCTTTTTCTCTTCTTTGTTCCATCTTTCTTTCTTTCGTTTTTGTTTTTAATTTTGTTTTATTTTAGGCAGGGTTTGTCTTTCTAGCCCTGGCTATCCGGTAACTCACTCTGTATACCAGGTGGGCCTTGAACTTGAAAATCCACCAGCCTATGCCTTCCAAGTGTTGGGATTAAAGGAGTGCACCATGACCGCTGGCTTGTTTCCTTTTTATTTATGAACTGTTTGCCAATATACAACTTTGGGACAGTTATATAAAAGTTTCTTATCTTGGTCAGTAGATGGTGTTGCATGCTTTTAATCCCAGCAATTGGGAGGCAAAGACAGGAGGATTTCTATGAGTTCAAAGCCAGCTTGGTCTACAAAGTGAGTTCGAGGACAGCCAAGGCTACAAGGAGAAACCCTGTCTCAACACAGCAAAAATATTGATATCTCTTTGCAAAACAACAGGGAGGAGGCTGAGATAGTTCTGCAGTTACGACAATGTCTTGCAGAAGACCCAGTTTTGTTTCCCAGCACCCATGTCAGAAGTTTCACAACCATCTGTAACTCTAACTTCAGGGCATCTGATGCCCTCTCCAGGACTTCAAAGACTCCTGAACTCAAGTGCACCAATGCCCTGTTTCCCCCATCCATATAATTAAATAAATCTTAAAAAAATAAATGGATTGCCAACACATAAAACTGATGTCAGAAAAATGCCTGGCATCTTCTTTTAAAAAAGTCCAAAACTATACAACAAAGACCATAGTGTCACAAGGCACAATTAGCAGTTCAATGACCACCACTGCCTTTAAACAGAACATTTCCCAGTCCCCCCCTCAACTAATATTCATTTCCACCCTTCTATACTCTGTTATGTCCTGAGTCCTTAATTCTCGCCACCACAGTACCCTCCAGATCATGAGATGGAGATCACCAGAGACCAACAAGATAGGGGGCCCTTCTGGTGGAAATGGTTGCGACAGTGTCCATCCCCCACCCCATTCATATGTACGGAAGAATGCCACAGTACTTGGAGGTGCTAAAATGATGTCATTTGGGTACATCTTAGACTAGTATGATAGTTCATCTTTATTATCAGATTCCTAGGATTTAGAATCACCATGGAAATAAACCTCTGGGCCTGTTGAGGGGTGGGAAAACCTACCCTGTATGTGCTTTGTACCATACCACGGGCTGGGGTCCCAGAGTGAACCAAAAGGAGCAAATTGAACACCAGCATTCATCTTTCCCTGCTTCGAGGCTGTGTATGCAATGTGATCTCCCGCTCCTGCTGTGACTTCCTGCCACAATATAGCAGTGGTTCCCAACCTTCCTAATGCTGCGACCCTTTAATACAGTTCCTCATGCTGTGGTGACCCCAACCATAAAATTATTTTTGTTGCTACTTCACAACTGTAATATTTGCTACTGCTATGAAATGTAATGTAAACATGTGTTTTCCAGTGGACTTAGGCGACCCTTGTGAAAGTTCCAAAGAAGTCACAACCCACAGGTTGAGAACCACTAGACTACACTCTTAAACAGTGAGCAAACAGTGATAAACCTTTTCTCCATTAAGGTTATTGTCAGGTATTCTGTTACAGCAATGAGGATGGTGACCAGGATATATGTATGTATGAAACTGTCAAAGAACTGATGGCATTAACTAAAGAATGGCATATGTTGCCGACAGAGCACCAAAGCCAAGAAGCTGGTTCTGAGGTCATAAAGAGCTGGAGTATGACCTAGAGATGGTAGTGCCGTAAGGAGGCTATGGTCAGAGTGGAGCCCTCAAGGGAAGGCCAGAATCCTGAAGACCTCACCCAAGCTATATCTAGAAGCCAAATCAATGACTCCCAGGAGGATGTGAATGGGTGGGATATAGCAGGTGTACCACGGAGACCTGTGAGGTGGGCAGGGGTGGGACAGGTTTAAGTATGTAGTACACATGGGGTCAGGAGTAAGGGGAAATATTCTAACAGGGCAAGTGGAACATGGATTATGCCAACTGAACCATGATGGTACAAAGAGTGCTGCAATCAGTGAGGGGCATGTGTTAGGAGCTCGGACACTGGGGTTGAGTCCTGGCACGCAGAGCTATGAGGACATCTGTTTCACACAGAGGTCTATCCACAAATCACAGAACTGCCTCTATGTGAGGTTGGTTAGGTGACAACTCTCTGGTCCTCAGTTTCCCCATGCATAAAACAGCAATGGTGGCAGTGTCTACTACAAAGACCTGGGTGGGCAGGATTGAGTGCTACGGGAAATGGAATCTTCTTCATTCTCAGGTATTGTGTGGCTTGCTTTGGAGTGCACATTAATTAGCCTTGAGTTTGAGGACTTCCCTCACACTTGGGCAGAGTACCATCTACTGCTACACTCTCCAAATCTGAGATGGGGAAACTGATGTATGAAGAGGTTAGGGAAGTTGGATGTGATGACACAGTCTCTCTCCCACGGGGGAGACTGGAAGGATCATGAGATCAAGGGCAGCCTGGGCTATGTAGTAAGACATCCCTTCAAAACAGAAAGAACAAATAAAATAAGCGTCAAGGTCACACAGCCACTTGTAAACTCAGGCCTCCATCCTTATCCATTTATGCGTCATTTTCTAAAAGATTTATTGACTTGTGTGTCTGTCTATGAGTGTGTGCAGAAATCTGCAGGCCATGGATCTGCTCATACCCATGGAAGTCAGAACGCAGTGACAGGTGTCCTCATATATCACCATGCCTTTTCCTCTGAGGCAGGGTCTCTTTGATGCTCCAATTAATGTGTTCTCAAGTAGGCTGGAAGCCTGTCTTCATTTACTGTGGGCCTGGGGTGATAAGGGTGCCGGGGAACTACGGGTGCCGTAGTTCTCACGATCGCACAGCAGGCTCTCTCAACCACCAAACCATTTCTCTCTAGCTGTCTCCACTTTTCTTTGTGTGTGTGTGTGTGTGTGTGTGTGTGTGTGTTGGGATAGGGTCTCACGGAGACCAGAGAAGTCTCCAGAAAACTCATGGACAAATACACATGATAAAAAAAAATTAAAACAGGAGCCAGGTAGGGCAGTGGTGGTGCACATCTTTGTTCCCAGCACTTGAAAGGCAGAGGCAGACGGTTCTATGTGAAGCCAGCCTGGTCTACAGAGTGACTGCCAAGACAGGCTCCAAAGCTACACAGACAAACCCTGTCTCGAAAAACCAAAAACAAAACAAAAACAGGAAAAAAATCCAAAAAACCAGGAGCTAGGCAGTGGTGGTGCACGCCTTTTTAATTCCAGCAGAGGCAGGCGGATCTCTGTGAGTTGAAGGTCA